AGCGATGGATTTGGTCTTTACGACTGTATTATCCGATGGACGTACAGTTGATATCTGTGAAGATGGCTCCAATACTGCGGTGACTTTGAAAAATCTGCAAGAATATACAGATTCTATGCTTCGAGCACGGATCCAAGAAACGCAAGAGGTGGTGAATATAGTAAAGCAGGGACTGCACTCCATTATGCCGGTGTCTGCATTGGCTCTTCTGACGTGGAATGAGCTTGAGAAACGCATGTGTGGCGTTGCGGAAGTGGACGTGAAGCTATTGCAGATTAATACCGAGTACGACGAAGATTTGTCGATGAACGACGAGTTTATTCAGAGATTTTGGCGCGTGCTGGAAAGTCTCGAAGCGGAGGATAAACGAGCCTTCCTGCGGTTCGTGTGGGCCCGGTCTCGTTTGCCTTTGGGCTCAGCACAGTTCCACCAGAAATTTAAGATCCAAGCGCTTGCGTCTTCGGGTAATGGAGACGTGAACGGCTCATCGTCAGGACCCCCTGGAGGCTGGATGGACTCGCAGATGCCGAAGTCGCATACGTGTTTCTTCGCACTCCAACTCCCACGATATTCCAGCGACGAAATCTGCCGCGAACGACTTTTGTATGCTGTGCGCAATTGCGTCGAAATGGATGGAGACTTCCGTCTTGCTGACACGGAAATGACAGGCTGGACGGGTATCAGTCCGACAGATCAGCTTCGAATTTGACCAGCCATTTGCCAAATAAAAGGCAGAACGTCCGGATCGAGGCCAAAGATATTGGCGGTATAACCAGTGTTTTACAAAAATCTTTAAGCTTATAAATTGCTCGGAAAGCCTAATCGAATTGCTCTGTAGAAATGTTTTTTTTTTAAGTATTGCGCTTCCTCTTCGATGCTCCAAGTCTCACTATATATGCTCATCTTTTAATTAAATAGAGCTTGACTATGCTATTACACAATATTTTATCTTTGTCTGTGCACAATGCAGACGAATGTAAATGTGTAAGTGTACGTCTGTTTCGATACTGTACAACATTACACTGTAAATATCCAGAGAGCCACTTATTTTCTATAGTAGTAAAGCTGCGCTATTTAACATCTACTTCGAAGTATTTAAAATTAAGTGTAAAATCCAAATGAAATTCTTCATACCTCGAAGTATTACAATGGAATTGAACTTTGCAATACAGCTGGAGATAAGGAAAATTGACGATTAAGTCCCAAAGTACACGTACGAGGACTTGAATAGATCCATAATCGAACACTCGTTCCTATTTCTTTAGTGATTTGTGAGCTATCGAATGCCGGATAAAAAGAAATTGAAAAATATTTGTTTGGGATAACCGTTTCTAAATTAGGCACTGGTTTTAGAGAATAACTAGGCAAACCAGTGGATTCTTCAGACAGAAAATATCTCCTTCCTTCGAGGGTTTGAACCCTGTAGTGGCTCTTGGAAACGAGACGTAATCCTGTTATTGTATTCATTACCGGTACAAACAGTCTACCACGCTAGGTTGCAGGGTTTTGGTGTTAAATTGCGTAATGTTAATTTTTCGGCAGTAAGTCAAATTTTTTGGGGCTTCTGAAACAGTTCTTAAAGCCACAATAATTACATACGATAACGGCAGACAAACCAACGTTGGGGGACCATGTATTATCACAGCTCAACAACTAACCGGATACTAGCAGGCCTAGCAACGTGCGTCGTTATTCAGTCATTCTTGTGAAGGTTGTTGGAGATGAAACCCGTTGTACTTGAGAGCGGAGCCGTCGTCTTCGGCAAAGTAGCTTCGCTACCTGCAAGCGAAAAATCGTTGTTCTTTGGCTTCCACAAGTATTTAATGGGCTCGACCGTTGTCTATATGCCCCGGTACTTGATTTCGAAATCTTGGGACCAGTGTTGAAATGTCGCCGTGACCTTCCACGGACGCCATCGATACAAGGACGACTGCTACGGCGGTGATGAATGCAAGAACGGTCATTGTTCGGCTTTTCGGCTAAACAGGGAAGTTAGATCACAAACGTCAAATGATGCTTTGAAGCTCGAAGCGAGCGGCTTGAACTTCATCGTGTCCCATCCCCACTCTTCAATCAGGCAGG